CTTTTAGTATTTTTCTCCATTTCATGCAATATCTTCAAGCTTAATGGTATGTTTATTGCGTGTTTACTGTCACTAGAATCATTGTTGTCGATTCTTCATTTCCTAAACAATTCATGAAGCTTAATGGAATGTTTATATAGCTTGTTTATTGTAATATTATATATAGCATTACATGATGTGTACACGTGGTGCCAATTCTAAGTGGTTGCCACATGTACATGATGTGTACACGTGGCATGTGTGTATCTTTAGTGTATACAGGTGGCTAATCATGGATAATATGGCCTTTGTCACATATAAGATCAAATGAATCACATGATTGATTGGGTGATTTTACCAAACAAAAAATGGTACTTCTGTTTTAAAAAAACATTCTTTTCAAAAATTTATTTAAATGGTTTTCAAAGCAAAAATATCAAAATAAAAGTTGTATTTATACTTTATACTTTCATACTATTAAAAATACAAAAGTAGAAATCTGAAAAAAAATGAAAAAGAGGGTGACTTAATAGATCAGAACTTGTATGGTACTTGATGTAGGATGTTTTGGCCCGACCTCGTAGAACGGGGACATGTGGATGTGACCTGGCATAAGTGACAACTCAGCGATAGCCTGGCCGCAACTTGGCGCAACAAGCTCGCCGAAGCCCGACCAAACGACTCAGCGGGTGGGGCAACTCGCCGAGAAGCGAGACCCAGCTCACCCCAAGCCTGAGGATGGAGCGCCCCGAGCTCCCCTTGAGACCCGAGCTTCTCATAAGGGGCTCCGAGCTCTCCCTTCTAAGAAGGGAGCACCCCACCCCAGCTTTTTGGCTAAGTGTCCCGAGGGAGAAACACCTCGGGGCAGCACCATCGAAACTCCTGTTCGTACTTTCTCAAGGCTCGCTTCCAGTGCGAGCACCTCGGTGCAAGGCAACCCAGTCTTAGGTGGTTCAGTGCAAAGTAGTTCGACAGCCTGCAGGGAAGATCTGCCTGACATCCATACCTGCCGGATCTGGTGGCAGTGCCCACATCTCTTGCCAGGCGGCGTCGTGGCTGCCGTCTCTAAAAAGCATGGAATGTTTGACGAGTCCGTACCCTGCAGCAGCAGCCTGCACCTGCCACCTCAGACCTGGCAGTAACGGCTAGAGCAGTGGMGGTTACGCCTGATGTGACTAAACTCCGGCATAAGAAGACCCCGACCCTCACGAAACAAAGGTATTAAAACTAGCACTTTCAACACTCTTAACTCTCTGTGTTTTTCTTGAGTTTCCTTAGAGTTCTAACTTAGCCATCGGAGTATTCCCTCCGGGAGAGCTCCCCGAGAATCCTTCACTTTCCTCTTCCTCTCAGGTGTCGTCCGTCACAGTTAGAAGCCAATAGCCAGATAAGAGTGTCAAGATCATACTGCATCAGTGCTCCAATTTATGAACCTTATATTTTGGAGTGTTTCTTAGATGAAGCCATTTCTATGCATACTAATAATTAAGCTATGTTTCTAGATCTTCACACTATCAACGTCACTCACTACCTTGGAAGTAACTCCAACATTTAATGAGGATGCCCTTTTATTTATGAACATTGTCATAGGCCCGGCAGAGAGATTAAATCTAAAATTTGCACACTAACAACTCTAAACAGTCAAAGGGGGGGACTCGAGGAAAGGCGGTCTAGTGGGAGTGAGAATAATGGAGGTTTGGAATTAAAGCATTGACCCCTGGATCCGGATTGCCCTTGTATCTAACTGTAACTGCTAAGTCCACCTCCACAAGTTGTTCGACCCTATGGGCTATGGGCTGGCTAATGGCTTGGCTAGGTTAGGCAGAATAAGGCAGCAAGAGCTTAAGGGCCCGTCTGGGAGGAATTAATGAAAGCTTTGATTTAGCTGTTTCCACTGAACCTGCTCTTTGAAGAAAAATGTTGGGCTTTCTGTAATTTTCACCAATCGTTGCTTATAAGTTGCTGTTCCAGTAAACCTCCTCGCCTCTAACAGAAAAAAATAATAATAATAATAAAGTTGTCGCCTGAATACTTTCCAAACGGGTACTATATATAGATATATGACTAAAGAGAAGCACCGAAGGTCGTTCCCATGTCTTTTGAAATTTGAATCCATAATAATAATAATAATAATAATAATAATAATAATAATAATAATAATAGAAACCAATGCCATAATCCTATATTTAGAATAAACAAGAATATAGAGATGCCGACCTTCGCCGAATTAAAACCCAACAAGAAATTAGAAAACCGACGTTGACTTTATGAGCTAGATAGAGATAAATGGAGATATTAAATGATTAATAATGCATTCACAAGATCCAAACTGCCTCTGTCAGGAAAAAGAAAAACCTAATAACTTAACCTTGTGCTTGAAACAGTCTTAATTAAAAACAAGAAAAAATCATTGTGCTTACTGCTTAGCAAATGCACAACTGAATTTGAATTGAGTTCGCACATTTACAATTACAGCTTATCGCTTACTCAGCAGTCGACATGCGTTACTTATTAACCATAGTTAATTTAACAACTATCACTGAATTCTGAATACATCAATATATATCTCTAATCACCTCCAGAGACTCAAGTTTTAAGCAAAGAGGTGGAGGTGAGAATTGTAAAATAATTTGGCTGATCGTCATCATCGACTTGTAAATGTCAATGTCGCCCCTGGTAACTGACCTCTTAGCTGTAGTTTTGACACTGATCGTCAGTCGCGATGATGAAGACTCTTCTTTCATCTCTTCCTTTGCAACTGCCTACATGTATGCGACTCTGGTTTTTTAGCTTTCAAGTATTTGTTAACATTAATAAATATTTTAATTTACTCTTTTCTTTTCGATGAGTAAGAGTTAAAGACTCTTTGTACTAACCAAAAATGATGAAATTTGTACATCAGTAAAGCCTCATTTGTTAAAAACACGGTAAGTCATTTGTATGAGTAAATATGTTTATTTAATTAAATATTTTCTGAAAAACACACTTGTTAGATAATTACATTTACCAAGTGTTCTTTTGTTTTATCAATAAAATGTAATTATTGGAGGGATAATATTGTTCCATGATGTATTATCAATTTTACATGCAGAACATAAAGTATTATATTACTTATCCAGGTAAATGAATTATTCCAAAGTCATTATTTTTTGTGGGATCCACTAATACCAAAATACAAATACACATTTCTTTCTTTTCCGTAAAACCTACCAACTTATCCACCCCGTCCCCCATTTACCGGAAAACAAACGTGCCCTTGAAGTTCACTCCCTCTTTCTTAAGCTTTGTACCCCCCTACTGATCGGCCAAAAGTCGGGGCTACGACTATCACATGCAAAGTTGATTTTTTTTTTTTTTGGGACAAATAAATCACACAGAATGTTGATTAATAAGCCTACAAACCCAATTTGGATTACCCATATAAAAAATAACAGAGCAGAGCAGAAACAACAACAACAATTTGTGTTCAATAATGCATGATCTACCTAGTAGTTAAAAATTGTCATCAATATCCCTAGTGGAAAAAGTCTCAAAAAACGCTGTTTGATATTACTAATGTTTAGTGATATGTAGATTTGCTTTTCTTTCCATATACGTAGTTATTTTTGTCAAGTAATAAATAATATTACTAAGTAGAGATGTCACCACTCCTTTATCAAAAATAGGATGTGCTCTGGTTGTCCCCGTCTTGAACTGGTTGAAATTTGAAACACATACAAAGGAAAGACCAATCACAAATGTATTTTATATTATTAGAGCCAGAACCACACTTTTACAGGACTATTATATGTATCTATCAAACTGTTGATAGGAATGTTGATTGATACCTTTTATAAGAGAAAAATAAAAGTAAACTTATTTATATTTAAATGAATAGTGCGTATAGTGCGGTGGGTTATTAAGCTAATTAAGATAAACAAAATTCCACTAAAATAGTTGTCATGTCTTAAATTAAGATTTGTGAATGCACCAATCACAACTTATTATTTCGTATATTCAGTCAAAACTTTTGCGGAACAAGCAGAAGGCTGAAAGGAACTTTTTGTTTGAAATAAACAAAAGTTGCAGAGATATTTTTATACTGTGCAGTGTATACAAATATCCGTGAGCAGAAAACTATTTAAGTTATACAAAACGTTGACGAATCGAATAACGTGGGACCGTGGGTGGGTGGGACTACTAAACCAAAACCCGACCCGGACAATATTCCAAACACGAAGTGAGACCGGATCTGCTCCTGAAGTATGATATGAACAAAGAACATGGGAGAATGACGGACTTGGATCGACGGTACAGATCTCGACTCTATAATAGTGCGAGCGTAGATTCGTATATATACCGATCTAACAGTGCTAGAAGTTTGACCACGTCTATTTTATTTTGTCCGGCTTATCATGTCCCTTCCCTTGCAATCATATCCCTTCCAAGTTCAATTCCATCAAGCCTTGCTCGTTGTTCATAGTCAAACATAGTACTCTATTGATTTGACGGCAACAAGTAATTAAGGGTAACGATGGTAATTCGTCAAACAAGTGAGAGGCAATTCCGTCATCCTATGAAAGGAATCCAGGAGTGGGATTTGGAATGGGAGAGTGGATGGCTGAATTGAATTGAAAACAGGGGTGAGGAAGATGGGCCCACTGGCCCAGGTTGCGTAGAGACAGACCAGATAGAGAGAGAGAGAGAGAGAAAGAGAGAGATGAAGCCATTAGCCACGTCCGTCGACTCGAGAGGGAGGTGGCGTAGTGGTAAAACCTCACACTACTACGAATTATCGGAATGATTTGACCGAGATTAAAACAATTGTCACATGAGGGGACCGCTACCCTCGCAACTTCGCAAGACGCAAGTGTGCCTGGGCCGAGCTTTGTTTAATTAACATGTAAGCAGAGCTTAAATATCGAAGAAAACTTCAATCAATTAATTAATGTTGGGAATTAAGATGGTGGTTTGGCTTTTCTCTCTGTGTGTGTGCGGCAGGTCCTTTCTCATCAGGTTATAAATGGAGAAAGACGAGGTCCTTTTTTGCTTTTCCGAGGAACACCTACGACTACGAACCTCCTGTCCTGTCCATTCTGGCATTCTCTTCTCCGCCACTAACAACGAACACCACCCCCCTGAGCCAATATCAATACAAAATATCATAGAAGAGACGGAGAAGGCGCCGATTTCTCACCATCCCTCCCTCTCTGTCACTGATGACTGAACCAAAAGGAAACAACTGCAAAAAGAGTTAAAGACAACCAAAAGCGCTCGTCTTTAGTTTTTTTTTTTGTCTTCCGCGCAGCAGAAGTAGGTCTCCTTTACGAGTTCTAACATCAAACCCAAAGAAAGATTGGAAGGCGTTGTTGATTCTGTTTCTTCGATTCCTGTAAGTGTTTCTGATTCTTTCTTCTTCTTTTGCCCTCTCTCTGTCCTTTCTTGCAACTAAAGATTATTACTTTTGACCAGATTTAATCCTATTTCGTTGTCTTTCAATCTTCTTCAGTGGATTTCCTGTTGTTTTTACCTTCTCTTTTCTCGATTTCTGAGATTATCAAGCAATGTTGCATGCCACAGACCGGGAAACTGGTTGGTGTTCTGGTTCAGTTTCTTCGTTTTCTGCACCATGTTGTTCTTGGTTGCCATTTATTTGACTATCGCTATAATCTCATTTCTGGTACTTCATTTATTTTGACGAATATCTGTCTCTTTGCTAAACAGTTATTTTTTGTTTTTGTGAATAAAGAATGTATTTTTCTCCTTGGTTTCAGTTCCCTTGTGCCAGGCGAATACTCTCTCTCTCTCTCTCTGTTTCGTTTCCGATTTTTAGAGCCGTCGAAGAAATTTCGGGACTCAAGTTCCTCTTGTTTCTTTCTGATCGTCTTGTCTTTTGTTTATGTATTTTATTTTTCCATCATGGTGATGGAGTTTCCAACTTGTTGATTTCTGCGAAATCTTGGAGATCTTGAGGTGAGAAGGTTGTTTTCAAATGCCCCAGTGATTTGTCGTTCTTTTGATTTCTTATCCACTTCTGCCGGAAACTGGATCTCCAGTTCTGTTCTTTTCCAAATTAAGACAGATCTTGACAGGGTATTCTCCTGCTGTCCCTTACCATATTCTTTACCTTGTTTATTTAATACCTCCGGATTCCTCTCGTTTCTCTGTATAACGAATTAAACTTTTATGCAGCGTTCTTTTAACGAAGAACTTTATTGACTGCATCACCAGATTCCCCATCTCAAGCTCCAGAAAGCTCCCAAGCTTTTGTTGATTTCTGTTTTACCTTTTCGATTTCTCTTCACCTTCCACTATGTTCTCGCTGAAAAGAAAATATTCAAACTCTGAAAGAACTATCTATGAAGGAAAAGGATGAACTTGACCTATTCTCTCTCTCTCTCTCTCTGTATATACTATTATATTGGAAAACTTATTCTATTTGCTTCCCTCCTACCTTATATTTGTCTTCCTGTTTACGATCTTTCGGAAACTGTTTCCGCTACTTTTTCAAGTTTCAGCTTGCTCTTTTATAAATCGGTAGTTAGACTTCATTAAGCACTATCTGACACTAATTTAAAAAAGCAGTCCCTGTTCGAAGCAACGACAAATTTAGCCGAAAACTTGAAATTGGTTATCCATTTTTTCCTCAACTCCCCTTTTTAATTTTTGATTGAAATTATGGCACTGTCGCATATAGGATTGCAATCTAAATAAAACATGTGTTTAAGAGAAACATGTCTTCTTCTTATTCTTCTACAGGTTAAAGATACCTACTGCCGGTGTTGTACGCTGGATTTGGTCCCTTTGTGTGACCTGAAAGGTGGAGCAAAATGAGAACCGAGTGTCGTAAGAATTACAAGGTGAGAGAAATCTCCACTCTTTTCTTTTATTTTCTTTCTCAAATTATTATTCATTCAGGATTTGAGAACTTCAAGCCTAAAATGTATGGCAGTCTTCCTGGCCGAAAGTAGTTGTGAGGAAATGGTTGAATATCAAGAGCAGAGGTGACGAGTTTCATTCCGATTATGGAGGTATGCTCCTAGAATGTGGTATTTGCACCGGGTTTTATCGGTTTCGTGTCGGAATAATTTCAGGTATCCGATCTTTGAAATTTTCTCCGTTGGAATTGCAGGGGCCTGGGGCACGACCGACAGAAGGAGGAGCTGTTCAGACGAGGACCGATATGTTTTCCTGCCACAAGAGTTCGCAGGTAGTAGTTATCTATCTGAGAAATTCGTATCCTTTCTGTCAGCCTCAACCATTCCCGTCCACGTGATCCACAGATGAGGAACCTCCTAGTCCTCCCTCCATGGGCCTCATTACCTCCTGATTGTTCTATAAGGCCAGGCCAAGAGGAAGAGCCCTACTCCACAGGTTATGTGATTACTGGACCATGATTATATTCGTGGGACCAGTTGATTGGATGGTCGAGATGCCATCGCATATGCCACGTGGACGGAAGATGGAACTGAATAAGTATTGATGGGCATATATTATCTCTCTGGCACTGGCAGAGTGGAGACCGGATCTGCTCCTCACACGCACATCCTATCATGGTATTGGGAGCATTGTTGGGAGATGCTCCCAATGCAATGCAGGGTGGATGTGGCTGTGAGGCGCCCGTTTGTGAGGAGCAGATCCCGTCACGGCAGAGTGACGGTGCGAAATATGAAATGGGATTTTGCCGTTTTAAAAGTGTTTATTTATCAGTTTATGGTGCTGAATAAATCAAAGTAATAAAAGCCGCGATTGGTAATGGTAGGGTGGGTGATGGAGGGTACTGAAAATCTGAAACGGCCGAGATTCGAGCAAGAAGCGCCAGCTGTTTCTACTACTGATATTCTAGACTTGAGGTATCTAATCGATACTGTTTTTGACCTTTCCTACTCTCTTTCTTTGTTTCTTCTTTCTTGAAAGAATTTTCATTGTTGAACTCTAGTAAACGACGAGATGGTGCAATTCTTCGATTCTTCGCCCTATAGACACTGCACGGTGGGACTCGTATCTTTATCTTTTATTGGGTCCCACTTTATGACGAGGAAAATTAATCGTAGAAATTGCACCGCTGCTCTTTTCATTTAAAAGGAATTGGAAGCTGCTCCATGTATGTTCCGGGATTACATAAAATGAACAAATTAACCACCCCATTAATGAAGAGAGTAACTTGGAATTTGGATGGATTTCTGGTCGTTTTATCATTAAATATTATGTCCTCCTTCTTAACATTTCAAATTCTAAGCTGTGATTGTCCTTGCTGGTGGTGGGATGGTTTAGGATGTTTGTGGGCACTTGGAACGTAGGAGGAAGATCACCTCACGACGGCTTGAACTTGAGGAATTGGCTACGGACGCCTGATCCCGCAGACATTTATGTTTTTGGGTAATTTCCTCCCTCTTCCCTTACCTGCACTTTCTTCCTATTCTGATTTTTGTCTGGATCATGGGGTCGGGGTAGTGAACCTTCCTTATTTATTATTAATTTTGTTTTTGGGGGATAGCTCATGTCATGGCATGGGATTCCGTCTCCCCCGGAAGCCCTGCCGGGGAAGAGAGAACCTTCCCGTCTTGTTTGGTTCTTGGCATTCGACAAATTGTCATATTATTGCACATTTTCTTTCTAGTTAAGAATATAACTATGCAAAAAATCTTGGCTTTTATTGTCTGATAAAATGACTCGGAAGTGGGAAGGACAGTTTTGATATTTAATTTTGCTATAAGTGGCAGCTACTACTGTCTTCATTTCCTTTAGCGGACTAAAACGTGCTCCAGCTCATTATCGACAAGCTTTCTTTCTTTTTCTTTTATCTAATATAAAATAATTGAATCTTTGTTTCTGACGCCGTAGAACCAGCAAGCAAACTGATCAGAGCCCTACAACCGGCTATATGTCCCTCCCAACCTGCCAAAATGGCTGGCTTTACCATGCCAAGCGGTTTTTGGTTGGTAGGCTTCTCCTTCCACCCACCTTATGCGCTGTGTCTGCCCATGGTACTTGGTAGGATTTAGATTTTGGTCCTAGCTAAGCTAATCAGTCCCTATCCGGATGCTCCCAACATGCACGGGAAAGTCCAGAATTGTGGGACCCTAGACACCATTGTCGCTTTCTGACCTGTTACCCCAACCCAAAGGTTCAATGCTTCATATCCAATGTGCAACGTGTCGTTTCCTTTTTCTTTTCTTAAGGGATTGCCAGTTGCCTCCTTTTCTAAATGATGAATGTGACTCGGCCGGCCTCTTCACTCGTCAATGGGGCCAGATTTCACTTTTTAAGTTTTACCCAAATCACTCACTGGTCAGGCCCCAGCAAATTGCGGAGTGTGTGTTTTACTTTACCCTTCCCTTTGGGATATTATCAATGATTATTAGAAAAGAAGGTCAAGTCGTCGTCTAAGTGAGTAGTGACTACTGACTATCTAACTACTAGAAAGCGAAAATCTGCTTTAATTTCCACTTGTGCGCATATATTTTTGCGTAGTAATTTGTAAGAAAAAAGATGCTAATCCTAATACTTTCCATCCTATCCTATTCCTGCCGTAATATCAGGTTCCAGGAAATCGTCCCTCTAAATGCAGGGAATGTCCTAGGCGTGGAGGACAACGGTCCCGCATCTAAGTGGCTGTCCCTCATTCGGCAAGCTTTGAACAGCAACGACAAAGAAGACCAGGAATTTGGCCAAAACGTCAAAGTTGCCACCCCCGTCGATGTGGACCAGCAGTACCCTCGACCTCAAATGAACCAAAAATCAAGAATTAGTTTCTCGGATCTACTATCCATGGAAGATGAACTGGATCAAGAGGATTTTGAAAGAATATGCACTTCATTCCGGGCTTCGAACGCGAGTGAGGAAGGATTGGTCAGCCCACCAGATTCAGCTTCAGCTTCAGCTTCATCTTCATCGAGAAGGCGTAGCAGTCCCATTCGTGGTAGATATTGCTTGGCCGCGAGCAAGCAGATGGTGGGCATCTTCTTAAGCGTGTGGGTGCGCTCTGATCTTAACCGGCATATTAGAAATTTGAAGGTCTCCTGCGTTGGAAGAGGCCTCATGGGATATCTTGGAAATAAGGTTAGTAAATTCATAAACCAACTGAAATTTATACGAGCAACACTTGCACCAATTTTAGTTGACATACATATGAAATCAAAATTATGCCTTTTAATTTATACCTTGTTCTTATATTTATAAAAAAATAAATAAAAAGTTGGGTGTTTTCACTTGCAGGGCTCTATATCCATAAGTATGACTCTACACCATACAACCTTGTGCTTTGTTTGCACGCACCTGACGTCGGGCGAGAAAGAAGGGGACGAGGTCCGCAGAAATGCAGATGTCATGGAGATATTAAAGAAGACAAGATTTCCTGAATCTAGTCACCGTGGACGCCGATTTTGCTATCCTGATAATATATTGGACCATGAGTAAGTTTTAGTTTTCACTCTCATGCCTGCCTCGTTTTAGATTTTTACTACTTATGAATTGATATGTGTATTGTTTCTCTACTTTTTACAGTAAAATTATTTGGCTCGGTGATTTAAATTATCGGCTCGCGGCTAGCTGCGCTGACATGCACCAACTTTTGAAGAATAACGATTGGCAAGCATTGCTTGAGAAAGACCAGGTGAGACTGATAAGAGGCTTTCCCTCATTGTATGTTTGTATGAGTACCGATCGAGATCGACCCGTGAGTCGTGACCGATAGAATAGGCGCCTCGTCGATTCTTTCCCAAATCAATGTCACATTGTACTTGTGGAAGAAAAGAATGAATGTTAAGTTATAGTTTTGTAGTTTAAGGGAAAGAGAGAAAAAAAAAAAAGGCCGCTACCTTTGCCTACAATAGACTGGACAAACTAATGGTGGGGTCTTGGTTCCCACCCTCCCAACAACGTGTGTTCTGAATCTTTCGATATATAGTATTCGATGTGACTGAGAGACTGATGAAGAACAACTCTGATACGAATAGGATTGATTATAGGCCTCCTCACACAAACAAACCGCATTTATATTTCGTTCGCTTTTTGAAAATATATATATGATTCTAACTTTCATCTTGTGTGTGTGTGGGGGGTGAACAGCTGAGAATAGAGCAAAGAGCAGGGCGAGTGTTCGCAGGTTGGGAAGAAGGGAAGATATATTTCGCTCCCACCTACAAATATATCGCCAATTCCGACCATTACGTTCTCCTGACGTCCAAATCAAAACAAAAGCGGCGCACACCTGCTTGGTTAGTCTCTATCTGTCTTTCTCTCTCACACACATATTTTAAGGACCGATTGGTTCTCGGGAATAGGGGGTCTGGAATTGGAATCCAATTCCCTCGGTCCCCCTTCTTGGGGATGAGAATCTATTCCAGCTATAATTCTAATGTTAATTCGTCTAAACCAAACAAACTACGGGGGTGGGGGATATTAGAATAGAATATTCCGATTTCAATTCTAATGAATTTCCATTCTGATTCTTACTGCAAACCAGATGGACTCTACAAGCCCGCGCATGTCGCAGTTTGACCTTGAGAAATGAGAAGTCATTACCTTTCTTTTAATTAATAGTTAAAAAATATAAAAGAAAAAAAAAACTCTTCTCTTGACTCTTGGGGTTTTTAATCACCGCCCATTTGGTTTCACATCTGATAATTAAACTAGTACTAGTACTAGTTGGTTGGCTGGCGTTTGTGGACGGTAGATTAATAAAAGAATATATACAACATATATATTTAGATAAATAAACAGTTATTAGGGTTGTAAGTGGTGAGCAAAATTATATTAGTTGTTGAAAATTGGAGCCAGCACTAACACTCACATCACATGCAATGTGGGGGACAGGTGCGACCGGATTCTATGGAAAGGGGAGGGACTGAAGCAGATGTGGTACGTGAGAGGGGAATCAAGGTTCTCGGATCACCGTCCTGTCTATTCTTTGTTCTCCCTACAACTCCACCGCCCCAACGTCACCAGCAATCCAGCAGCTTCACTTTCGTCGTGCGTGGCCAGAGTCCAGGCCGAAGAACTTTTGCTTGTAACCAGGGCACGGAGCTGCATAGAGACCGCCTCCAGGTTCTGATCATTTCCTCATTTACATATCGAGATTTCAAGATATCAGACCCAACACCAGAAGACAACAATGAAAGCATGGAGCTGACTTCCAATTGTTCGTCTCCCAACCGTTTGGAAAGGGCATGCTGGATGAGAGATGATGGCGATCGATGTTTAATGTTCGTTCGGAGGATGATAACTACGGCCAAGGCCGCCGGCGGATTTGGAAGTCTTTCTAACTACTTTCAAGTTTCAAGTGGGGGAACAAGAAAAGCAAAATAGGCGCAAGAGCATGCGTCTTGCACTGCAGCAAAGCACGCGCGATGCCTGATGGACACGTGGAACGAACGAAAAGTGGTGTTCATTTGTAAATATATGATTCAGTAGGTCCCTGCTAACAAATGATGCCGTGCGTGCTGGGCCTGGGCTTTAAGGCTTTTTCTTCCCCTAAACAAAGTCCTAGCGCTATGCCAGCCTGAACCTGCAGCAGATCAGATGATTGAGAACTGGGAAGGAAACATTAGACAATTTAATGTCTGAACTTTTATTTGGACTTTGCGTCACGCCCGCGCTGTTTCTAAACGTGCTGCGAATTAAAGAATCTGGATTGGCTTTGAATAGTGTGTTTATTAAAATGTATACAGTAGGAGAATGTTTCAGATGGAGGAAAAAAACAAATGTATAGAGTATCAAATGACAAAGGTTTATTAAAATGGGGCTTTCAGCTTTGGGAGGGGGAACAAGATTTGCAGGAACCAGGCAGCAGTGTATACGGAAATTTGATTTAGGGTTGATGATCATTTTGGTTATTCAGGGGTCCTTTTTCTTTTTTCTCCACATCTTAGTTTCATTTTTTTTATTGCATAATTGTTTGAATCCTTTCCCGGTATCATGTGTTTCCGGTCGGGCATTATATATTTTTCCAAAATTAAAAACAACCTCTTCTTTTAAATTCTTTGCTATCTCAAAGTTTACGGTTACAACCGATTGGTTACATTTTATCCACCCGTCGTTAATTTTGATGTCATTGTTACTTTATGCAGATATTTTCCCCCGATCAGACTCTAACCTCTAGAAAAGGAATGGTTTTACTTTTTTTTTTTTTTTAATTTCGTAACGTTGTTTAGTTAGAAATCTGCTACCTCAAGGTTTTCCTCCTTTCTACATCCTTACCCATTGACATTATTGGGAAGATTTCCCTTGTCATTCATGAGAAGATAGTCAGGGATGTGATAACAGTTTGTTCCAAATCGCTTGGAACCAGACCCAATATGTGAAAAATAATTCAGTTATTATTAGCTGCCATATCGACCAGAGTTCAAAAAATACGCAGCACTTCTTTGTGATGCATTTGTCGCCACATGGGTGCTCTCATAAGCTTGGGTATTTAGCACACATGTAATGGTATTCTTATCTTCTATCAATGGACCTGATATTGGTTCAATTCAACCCAACCCAATCCAATAAATACTTTGGACCATTAAATTGGGACTGGTCCAATTCAATGTCTAGTTGGCCCATCCGCTCCATCTAAATTGATTTTGATTTGGATGGGATTCAACCCAAAACCGGTCTATTGACACCCCTAAATGGTATAACTGAAGAGGAAAATGAGGGATTTTGCTCTAGGGCCCGTACTCATTCACAGACTTGAAACATGCATATGTATTAATATTTGTGTATATTTTTCTTTTGTTCTACTTCTAAATTAGACTACAAAGCCTGGACTAAAGTCGAAAGATGCTAACACAAGTAAGTAGGTATCTCAATCCAACCGGGCTTGAAACCTATTCAAGCCTACACAAGCAAGAGCGCATTGCTGAGTTGTGTTACTTTGAGCTTGGGCTAGAAAACTACTGTTGGACCAGGCCTGAGGCCAACGTTTAAGGTTCATATTTCAGTGTTGGGCCTAGATTGACCCTAAACTTGGCCCAATTACAACATAACTCCGGTTGTGTTTGGTATCATGAAATTTTATAGATATTATGTTTGTGCTTGATATGAACATCAAAAATGAGGAAAAAAGGGGCTGGGTAGAAAGTCATGGTAGTATATTGTTTATTCCTGTTTTTTAACAAATGAGTGCTGGGTGCTGGCACCACATAGGAGAAAATAAGGGAGTCAATTGGACTGAATTTGGCCCAATCCATTATTTGGACTATCCAATCTGTTGGAATTGGTATTAATTTAGATTGGTTCCAATCTAAACCTGGTCCATTAACACATGTAGGAGAAAATACCCACACAATTCACCCTAAGCAGAAAAACATCTATAAATAGTGTTGACACACCACTCAAAGGAAAAGATGGATTTATTTGCATGTAATGCTTTAAAACTTTGGTTGAGATAGTAATGCCAGTTATTTGCTTATCTTTTACCATATGTTCATTTGGTTTCTGTAAACTTGATTTTTGTTTATATTCCACAAAATTCTCCATGTAGCAAAGAGATGACTCAGGCAACTACCCAATATAAATAGTACTACTATGATTAGAAAAAGTAGGCATCTAGTAGCGGAGGATGGCACATCTGTTGCTGCGACTAGTGTCATAGCACTCCCTGACTCTTCAATGCTGCATGAACAGGCTAGCAATGGGAGCTGCTAGTGCTGTAACATGTCCATCACTGGTATGTTTTATTATGTTCATTGGGGATCGTTGGACGATAGCATATTTTTTGTGGCTTATAGAACATATATCCATGGGACGTGATTAGGGGAATATATAGCATATATATATATATATATATATATATATATATATATATATATTCTTTAATTTGTGAATTGTGGCATGTACTTCTTGAGTAATGATTAATGACGGGTGTCATCCCTTTATTTTTCTATGGGTCACCCCTTTAGTCACTCCTCTATTATTATCCTTCACAAAGTCTTCATTTGAAAAAAAGGAAGGTTGTTGCACCACTCTTTTATAAGGTTGTGTTTGGAAGCGGTGTAAATACAAAACTTCATTAAACACTCAAATGTATGATGGTAAAAACTAAAGCGGCCAAATGCATGTTTTATACTCTTGTGCGTTTGGCAAAACGGTGTAAAATCATTGGCGTATGAGTATATCTGGTAAGCGTCAATGGAGACATCGTCTCTACACTGAACAAGTCTCATCCTGTCCTCCTCTACTCACGCTCTTCCTGGGCCACCTCGGTGATATACAACTTACTGCTAGCTCCCTTGCCATAGCCTTCGCCAACATCACCGGTTACTCTGTCCTTTTCGGTCAATCACTGGGCATGGAACCTCTATGTGCGCAAGCATTTGGAGCTCAGTGTCCCAAGCTTCTGGCCCTTACCCTTCATCGCTCTGTAATTTTTCTACTCTTCTCCTCAATTCCCATATCTCCTCTCTGGCTCAGCATGTCCAAGTTGCTTCTTTGTTTACACCAGAATCCTAAAATCACAAATCTCACTCAGAGCTATCTTCTATTCTCTCTTCCGAACCTCCTCACCAGATCCTTCCTGCATCTAGTCTGCATTTATCTCCGGGCGCAAGGATTAACCCACCCACTCACCTTAGCGTCATTGGCCGGGGCGATCTTCCTTGTACCCACAGGCTTCCTCTTGGTGTATCACCTCCAAATAGGGGTAGCCGACGTCGCCATTGCTTCGGTGGCTTCGGACTTGTTTGCACTGCTGTTCCTGGTTGGGTACGTGTGGGCTACGAGGTTATACCTGCCCACGTGAACAACGCCGAGCTGAGAGTGCTTGACTGGATGAGAGCCTCTTCTCCAATTGGCGGGGCCGAGCTGCGCGTTCATATGTCTAGAGTGGTGGTTGCTGGAGCCGGTGATGAAGCTTCTACCTCTGTTCTCATGGAACTGTTTCTGTTGAGCCAGTGATGGTTTCCATGGAGCCGGTTCCCATGGAAAACGTAGGTGCGTTCAAATATGCCGCTGCAACTGGTTACATGTTTCCCAGCGGCGGTAACGGGAAGAAAAAAAAAAAAAGGAGGAAGAGAAGAGAAGAGAAGGAGAAGAGAGAGAGAGAGAGAGAGCGACGAGAGAGAAGAAGAAGAAGAAGAAGAAGAAGAAGAAGAGAGATGTAATAAATACATCGAAAATTTTGATGTATTTATTATATCAATTATCGATGTAATTCAACGGTAAAATATAATTTTACACCGATTACATAACGTACAGTAAGCCTTTGGCTTTCATCTCACAAAGGTTAAAGAACTATGACTTGCACATGGACTGGGCAAGCCTTGGCTAAAATTCAAAATCACCCTGTTGAAGGTGCCTGTATGCTAGCTGGTAATGTCTGGTGTAGCTAGGGAAATTGGATTGGATTTGGTCCAATCCTTTCCAGTCCAATGTGATTCCATTATAAATAGACCAGGTCCAAATCCAATCCAATGAATATTAGACCATTTCGGACTGGTCCAATTCGATGTCTGGACCGTCCAATCTATTCAAATTTGTTTTTAGTTTAATTAGATTAATTCTAATCTAAAACTGGTCCATTGATACCTATATTCTTATCTTATACCAATGGACCAGATATTGGCTCAATCCAACCCAATCCAATATAAGTAGGTTATGGATGGGCTAGGTCCAATCCAATCCAATAAATACTTTATACCACTAAGTTTGGACTAGTCCAATTCAATGTCTTGTTGGCCTGTCCAATCCATCCAAATTGATTTTTATTTGGATGGGATCCAACCCAAAACCAGTCCATTGACACCCCTAGTTATAGGTACTGGTGGATTCGAGCCGAGCCAAGCTGAATAGTACAAGGTTCGAGCTCGGCTCACCAATGTTGTACAAGGCTCGAGATTGAGCTCAGTTCAAGCTAGAACATTGAGCTCGAGCTCAAATCGAGTAAAAAACTCATAAGCTCGAGTTCAATTTCAAAAAAAAATATATAAAAAAAAATATTTTTATTTGATATTTAAAAAATTAAGAATTATAATATTTTTATTATATATATATATATATATATATATATTATTTTCTATAATATAGATCTTGAAAAGTTACCCAAAATCAAAAAGTAAAAAATCACCCATGTGAAACATCAAAATACAAAGTTATGACCTTTGAAAGTTTTGCATGCATCAACTTGTGCAACCCACTACCGGATTACCGGGTCAAACTGGTTGAGTTGAATGATTTTTGACTATCTAACAGGTCTTGACTGAACTAAACCCGAAATCATAGCCAAATGACAATTCAAACAATTTGATCAACTAAATCAACGACGGATTGAAAACATTAGAAATAAATATGTTGGGCGTATTGAGTGGGGAGTTAATATGAACTCCCTACCGTAAAAGGGGGGTTGAGGGGTTTAAGGGTTTGGAGGAGCTACCCCTGTTGGGTAGCCCAGTTGCCTCCCAAAATATAAAATTCAGCCTATGAATCCATTACAGCTGAGGTTTTATACAACGTAAATACAATTTTTGAAAAACATCTTGTACTGTACACACTGGTATATACACTCTTTCCAAATTGAGCCTCGAGGACAAAATTTTACTATTTCGGCTAGACACATTGTGGACCATGGCCCAAATATAGTCATTCTCAATTTGCCAGGAGATGACAAGTTCGTTTAGTGAAAGTTGAAAGTGACCCAACAACTATGACCAAACTGTCTAGGCCTGTTGCCAGTATTTGACGTTATCTACACACTTCAGTGGCTTTGTAGAGTGTTTTTTTTTTTTTTTTCTTATCCACATTTATGGCTGCAAATAAGTCGGATCACATGCGATCCGAATCGGATAGTTAAGAGGCGGATTCAGATATCCCTTCTGATTCTAATAAAATTGGATTGGATTGAAAAAGCTGATATGTTAATTTAATGGATCGAATTTGAATATTGATTGATTCAATTTACCGTGACCCGATCCAATCCGTTAATTATAAAATATTATATATTATATT